AACATGTTGGAATGGTTCAGGAAAACTATTTCTGTTTATTTATCATTTGTTTTACTATGTGAACTTAGTTTTTAGATTTATGAGAGTTTTGAAAGTAATTGTTTTAGAGTCAATAATTTTCCCTGTCAGGCATTCAAAGTTCTATAAAAGAAAATAAAATCTATTAAATTTATTGGTGTATTTTTAATGTGTAAGGAATTAAGCTAAATTGGTAAATAGGATTGGTTGTTTCAGTCTTTCAATTTTACTTAATTAAATACTCGGAGAAAAAAATGAAGTTATTTGTTCTTATGTTCCTAGATTGGTAAATTAAAAGCTTAATTAAACAGATTTAACGTTTTTAATTTTTATAAACTATTAATTTAAAACTCAAATATTAAAAAATATTCTTCCTATGTACAAAGGCCCCACTCAGGATATGATAAAAATCAGACACAACAGCAAGGGAAGGTATCCAAAATTCTTGGAAGAAAGCCAAGTCCATGCTTGTGAAATTAAACTTACTTGCTGGGCAATTTTTCCATTAGAGGATTAAAAATCCGTTTCTAAATGAGGAGAGAAAGTTGTGATTAGATTTCACCTCCATTCCCAGATCTTCCTCAGAGGCTAGAACATCTTGGTCCTTGGAAATACTTGCCTAGTCATGCTTATGGAACCGGGTGGTTGGCAGAGGGGCCACGTTGGCTAAGGGGTGTTGGGCGACTCTGACAGTGAAGCAGTCCGCCTTTGACAGAGGTATCAAACACGACCTTCACATCATCCTAGACTTGGAAGAAAGGGGCTGTAAAAACTGAGTGACAGGCTAGGCATGGTGGCACTCGCCTGTAATCCCAGCAGCCCCAGAGGCTGAGGCAGGAGGATCATGAGTTCAAAGCCAGCCTCAGCAAGAGCGAGGCGCTAAGCAACTCAGTGAGACCCTGCCTCTAAATAAAATACAAAATAGGGCTGGGGATGTGGCTCAGTGGTTGAGTGCCCCTGAGTTCAATCCCTCGTAGGCCCTGCCCCCCCAAAAAAAGAACTCCTGCAGTCATGACATTTCTGTTTTATTGTTGGAAGAACCAAAGTTGGGCCTCTCCTAAGAGGGGGACTTATTCCTCATTCTGACCGTTCCTAAATCTTCTGTTTGTCTACACTGGTAGCCGTGTGGGCATGCTGGTCTGGACTTGCCTCCTATTCTGACTCCTTTCAGAGCGAAGCAAGAAATAAGACCAAAAACAGTTTGGAAATAAATTATAGAGGACCTAAAACAAAGACCAAAGGGCATTTATTTTATTTAAAAGGCAGTGATGAATTGGCAAAAAAAAAAAAAAAAAAAAAAAAGTTAAAGCAGACAAGTAAATGTATTAAAAAGAAGAAAGAAAAGAAAAAGTAATTTAAAAAGATAAATGGTTCCCAGTAGCATACACTCAGGGTAAGCTAGAGGTATTGACAGAGGCACTCAAACTCAGCGTGGTGGCACACACCCATAATCCCAGCAACTCCAAAGACTTAGGCAGGAGGATGGCAGGTTTGAGGCCAGCCTTGGCATCTAAAAGAAACCCTGTCTCAGAATCAAAAAATAAAAAGGGCTGGGGATGTAGCTGTGTGATAAAGAGCCCCTGGGTTCAGTCCACAGTACTGCAAAAAAAAAAAAGTAAGTACCTAAAACCTGGTCTACTGTTATTGTAGGCTGACTAGCTAATTTATGGTTCTAACCAGGGCACTTGTGGGGGAAAGAGGGGTTCCAGGTATAAATCTCAACTTCTTAGCAAACTGGAATGCTTGATTCCTTTAGCTGGTGGAAGCCAAAGGAAAAGAGAGATGAGAGAGAAAATGTGAAGAAAAAGAAGCAGAAAGGGGTTATTTACGAGATTTAGGAAGTTAAAAGGAAAAGGGGGAATCCTGTATCATGCTGAGCTCTGAGCAACTTGGAGAATCCTGGTACCATTCATGGAGACAGACCTCACCTAGAAGCTGGGGTGAGGAGGGGGAACCAAGGGGAGATGTCGACGGACAACAATTGCTGGACTGAACCAATCAGGTCTGCATATTAAGGTGTGGGACTCACCTCCTTAAGAAGGAAGAAAGAAGAGAGGGAGATGGTCTCAGGAATTCACAGGCTGAAGTGGAGAAAAGAGGAGACAGAGTCAGTAAAGGGAAAGGGAAAGATGGAAGGAGGAAAACCAAGATTTATTACCAAAACAAAGGCTGTCAAGCGAGTTTGGTGAGAGTAGAACAGGGGTACCAAACACGACAGAAAACGCCAGGTTGGGAAGACAGAGTCGAGGCCATTGGCTTAGCCATTAGAAGGCCACACTGACTGTCAAGAAACGAGTTTCTTTAGAGGAGGGGGACTAAAGCTGATTGCATCAGGGTAAGTGTGGAGTGGTGAGGAGAGAAGGAGACTGGGAGGATTCACGATGGTCTTTTAAATGTTCTATCATGAAAGGAAAGAGAAAGGGGACTTGGGGGATAGTCCAAGCCCATCAGATGGAAACACTCGAATCTCTTGGGTTCTGTCGGTTCCTTTGGGAGTCCAGCAAAGCCTTTCTTGATAACCTCCTGCATGTCCATTCCTGGGGGAAACCTCAAAATGATTATAAATTCCAGACCCATTGCTTTGGTTGAAATTCAGTCCGTAGTTCTTTGTGTTATTGTAATTTTTGTCAAAATTCTCTTTTCTCATTTAAGTTTTCCATTTCACTGTCATTTTGAAGAGTTTGTCAATTTAGGTATGTTCCCTCTGGGAAAGACAACTTTCATTTTTAAGTTATCGGAGTAAAGGAAACGGGAGGGAAAGGAGAGAAGGGAGGAAAATTGAGAGGAATGACAACTCTAAAATTTAAAATAGTTATATGAGAGTAAGTAAAAAATCTCCCTAGATCTGATCATCTGAAGACTTGATCATACATAATATTCCAAGAAAGTAAACGTTTTTTATTAAGTCATGTATTATCCCGTGTCCTGTTCACCCATCCCCAATCGTTAGCCCCTCTCTCCCCTCTCTCTCATTCACAGTCACTTTCAGGTTATAGCAGAACATCACCTCCCCATCGCTGCCTGTTATCTTAAGTTGTTTCTCTCAGGCATTTTGTCACAGCAATGAAAAGCTGCCTAGCACATTGCTTTTTAAACTAGTTTAGGAAAATGTGTCCTGTGTGGCTTTCACAACCCTCAACATATTTTATTGTAATTAGCTATATACTATTTGACTTCCACACCAATCAATAAGTCTAAGAGATTGGACTTGTGTCTGTCTTGCATAGAGCTGCATCAGCACTTTGCATACTGCCTAGAAGAAAGTAGGTACTCAATAATATCACTTATTAAATGAATACATAAATGAAGCTATCAAAAATATGATGATCTGTCTTTGTCTGTTTGGGCTGCTTTAACAAAACTAGTATAAACTGGATTGCTTATAAGCATCAACCATTTATTTCTCAAGGCTCCAGAGGCTGAGAAGCCCAAGATTAAAGTACTAGGAAATTTAATGTCTGGTAAGGGCCTGATCCTCAAAGATGGAGCCTTTTCACTGTCCACATATAACCAACGAGCACTCCTGGGGCACTAATCCCTCTCATGACCTAACCTCTCAAAGTCCCCTTCTTCTAATAATATCGCCTTGGGGATTAAGTTTCGGTCTATGAATTTTGGAAGGACCTACACATTCAGTCCACAGCATCATCTACCAATCCTGGATCTATCTTCTATTCCTGAGTGACTACATCAATATTTTTTAATTCATAGAATAGAAGATCATAGTATATTAGAGCAATAGAGATACCCAAATATGATCTAGTTTAAGAACTTACGTTTAGCAACAGATCAATCCTTTTAAACACACACAATCTTATCAATGCTTTCTAATTTCTCAGTGAGGTTTAGAAAAAGAGAAAGAAAGAAAGAAAGAAAGAAAGAAAGAAAGAAAGAAAGAGAGAGAGAAAGAAAGAAAGAAAGAAAGAGAGAGAGAGAGCTGAAAGCTGTAGCCAAGTCGGAATGATGCATGGCATTTTTGCCAGAATGGAGTGGTTGAGAGGTGATGCCAGCAAGCCATTGAGATAATAGTTATGTTAAGCTGTGTATTCAATTGTATATTAGACCCCTACTGTCCACCTCCGCCTGCTACGTTGGAGTTCTCTTGGAGATTCCCAGAGAGTTCCCATTGGTTGGGGAAGTGCCAGAGGAGGGATTTTCCGGAGGAGGGATTTCCGGTTGGTGTGGTGTGTCCTGGGAGAAGGCCGTGTGCGTGGTGTTCGCGGGAGTTTGGAAATAAAGTTTGTTCCTGCTTCAGTGGCTCGTGATTTGTGCCCAGCCAGACTGCGGCAAGAAAGAAAGGAAGAAAGAAAGAAAGGAAGGGAGAGAAAGGGGAGGGAGGGAGGGAGACAAGGAAAGAGCTAGCTATTCAGATTGAGGCACAAGTGAAGGAAATCAAGTTCCTATCTCTTCTGCCTTCCAGCTCCAAGGAAGCTATGGGAGCCTCACCCCTCATACACTGCTCCACTGAATCTTGGAGTTCCATGGAATGCAGTTTGAAAACCATGGTATTGGATTAATATTCACAATATATTAAAAATACATAGAAATCAATAAGAAAAAAAGACAAATTATCCAATGGAAAAAAGTGCAAAATACATGAAAAGCAAATTCACTAAAG